CCCCCCCCCTGCACTGACCCTCAGTGGGGTACAGGGTCCCCCCCACTTACTGACCCTCTGTGGGGTACAGGGTCCCCCCACACGCACTGACCCTCAGTGGGGTACAGGGCCTGCCCCAACACTGACCCTCAGCGGGGTACAGGGACCCCCACACTGACCCTCAGCAGGGTACAGGGTCCCCCCACACTGACCCTCAGCGGGGTACAGGGTCCCCCCACACTGACCCTCAGCGGGGTACAGGGTCGCCCCACACTGACCCTCAGCGGGGTACAGGGTCCCCCCATTTACTGACCCTCAGTGGGGTACAGGGTCACCCCACACTGACCCTCAGCGGGGTACAGTGGGTGCAGTTTATGATTAGATTCTCACGATGAGCTTTGATCCTGGGGCTGTGTGCTACCTGGGCCCTGATATAAAATTCCGGTTCAGCGTGCTGAAGGTGTTTTAGTTTGAAACCTGTTCAGTTGCTGGTGTAAGTGAAGTCTCCTTTTCCCAGACAATGTTGCCGGATGTTTTCCGAGGGATATGGGGAGGCAGTCACTGTCGTGATAGTCCCGTACAGACCCTGCGATCCTGCAGCTGCTCCGTAGGTACGTTTGGTATCGCCCTTTCTGTCCATCTGTCTGTCTGTCTTTATTTATTTATTCGCAGGATGGCTATTTCCTGCCTGTCCTCGAGAAGGTCACAATGAGCTGCTCTCTTTGGGTTTATATGTACCTTTGTTTATTTCACTTGCCTCATGACATGAGGTTAAATAATCAATAGTTGTAGAGGAATGTTTTGGGATGAGTGATCACAATCTGATAGATACTTCACATCATGTTGAAAGTGAGATATTCGAGCCTGAAGCAAGGTGTAAAATTTGGAACAGAAACTATGAAAGTATGAGACACAAGTTGACTGAGCTGGATTTTGGGAAAATGCACAGCATGATTGTATATAGGCCACAGACAGAACAGAAAGAAGTATTATACAGCTCTTATAGTCACACCAACATCTCCCAGAAATAGAGTTTGATTGACTGAGGAGAATAAGGAATTGAAGGGATAGCAATAATCATGGGTGACCTTAATCTACACAGAAACTGGAAAAATGAGGTTGGTAGTAACAGTGTGAATGTGGAGATTATAGAAAAGTTTGGAGAGCGTTTCTCACAGCACTTCTGAAACCGACAGGTTATTCTTGACTTGGGGTTGTGTAATGTGACAGGGTTAATTAACGAGCTCAGAGTAAAGGCACCTCTTGGCAACAGCGGCCACAATATGATTGAATTTTACATCTAATTTGAAAGAGAACAGAATGGGTCAAAGACTAGAGTATTAAATTTAAATAATGGCAACTGGGTGGACATGAAATCTGAGCTAGCTGGAGTGAACTGGGATAATAGGCTGGGAATAGAGCAATCGACATTTAACAGGATATTTCAGAATAATTATATTTCTGCTGTAAAGAAAAATCCAAAAAGGAGGTCTTCATTAAAGAAGCAGCAAAAATGAGGAAAAGGCATAAGATGCACAGAGATGAGTGACAGGTCGGGTGATTCGGTGGAATATAACAAAAGGCAGAGAATGATGGGAGGTTAATCAGGAGAAAGAACTTAGTGGGACAGGAATGAGCTTGAAATGTAAAAACAGAAAGCTAGAGTTTCTGCAGGTGTTTAAAAAGGAAAGGGTGAAGTGAGTGTTGGCTCCTCGAGAGTTGAGAATGGACAATTAATAGGAGCTAAAAAGGAAATGGCAGATGAAACTAAATTTTAAAAAAAACTTGCTTCTCTCTTCACCATACAGGATGAAAAAAAAATTCCAGTACTGGAGGTTCTTGTGGAAACATAAAAGGTCATGACTAAGGGGTAATATATTAGTGAGGTAGATCAAAAGGTGTTGGAGCTGAAGTAGGCCATTCAGCCCATCAGGTCTGCTTCACCATTCAGTGAGATCATGTCTGAATTGATCATCCTCACGGCCACTTCCCTGCCTTTTCCCCATCACCCTGATTCCTTTAATGATTAAAGATCTATCTCAGCCTTGAATATACTTAACGATCCATCCTCAACAGTCCCCTGGGATAAACAATTCCACAGATTCACTGCCCTCTGGGAGAAGGAATTCCTCCTCATCCTCTGTGTTGTGTGTGTGAGCCACCACCCCTACCCCCGAGATGATGCCCCCTTGGTTTGTCCCTTGTGGGAGAGTCTGGGACTACTTTTCCATATCAATCCTGTCAGATCCCCTAATTATTTTGTTTCCACCTCAAAGTTCCTGTAAATTCATCAAACATGATGTAAGATTTGGATGGTCAGGGAGTGGGGGATGTCATCCAGAGTGAGCACATCCCGAGTGAGGATATAATTCCAGGAATTTGGAAGCAGTGTGGGAATTCAGTGCTGTGGTGGTGGGGGTCGGTGGGGGTGGAGTTTTGGGGAAGAGGTGCTTTGTACACGGTTTGTTGGTTCATAGTCTGTAAGGTTTTTCAACAGATAACTGAAGCCCAGGATCAGGGGGTCAAGCACGAAAGAAAGATTGATATCACTGGAAAACCATAAGTTCAGTGGTTGTTTATAGCTGCTAGTTTATTATAGCTTACTTTCAGACTGAAGGTAAGTTGAAGAATTTTTACAGGTTACAAACCAGAAGACCAGTGGAATTTTTTAAAAATCAACTTAAGAACTAAGTAATTAAAACAGAGATGCCGGGCCAGATGATGTGTGGTACCTGTATGATGTGGGAGCTGGTGGATCGCATTGTGGTTCATACTGACCACATTTATAACAAGTGCTGGTTGCTTGAGGAACTTTGGCTCAGTGTTGATGAGCTGGAGTCTGAGCTTCAAACACTACGACACATCAGGGAGAGGGAGAGTTACCCAGATGCTGTATTTCAGTCACGCCCCTTCGATTTACTGCCTCAAATTTGGTGAGTGGTCAGGGACAGGAGGGTGTGACTATGAGTGAGGCAGGTAGAGGGATCCAGGAGGTAGTGCTGAAGGAGCCTCAGCCCTTGCTCTTGTCAAACAGGTT